GACTGGCTGCCTCTGCAGGAGACCACATGCTGAGGCAGCGGCACCTTTTCCTGTCCTCCTCCTCAGCGAGTTGTTTCAGCAGCTCTCTTGTCTTCTCCTTCTGCTTCCTGCAACAGCATCTCTCCAGAATTGGTTGGTCTTACCTGCTTCTGTCTCCCTTTGCGTATCTCCCTCCCTTGAAGTACTCAGTGATGTCTCCCTTCTCCTGGAAGATGCTCGGGCCTCTTCACAGGCTCTGTCTGCTTTGCATCAGACCATCCTGTGCTGCTTCATCTGTGTTCCCCCGGTGTCGAGGCTCTCTGCAGCGAGCGCGGTTTTGCATACAGCGCCAGATACATCTGTGCTGCTACATGAAAATGGTCTGGTTCAGGAGGGTGCGATGGGACCAAGGAGTCGCGGGGAAACCCGCAGTGTGTCTAACCCATAACAGATGGGGAACCTCCCAAAGAAACCATTAGGAGCAGACTTCTTGCTGCCTAAAATGGCAGAGCTGCTTCAACCAGCCTGACTCAGGGATGAAATTTGCTCTCTGTTTGGGAGGGAAGGGAATAAGCTTGGGTTTTCCCATCGTCGTCAGATGGAGATCAGCCCATGCTGAGTATCCTGGAAATAACAAAATTAATCTCAGAAGACAGAATTCCAAACCTATTGGGCATTGCACAAACGTACCCTCTTATCAAAAGCAAATGAAAGTGCAGAAGGTGTGTCTGGCCTAATCCCGTGTTGAACTTGGCAGTCCGTGGTGTGTCAGCACAGGCACTGTGGCATGCATGCAGGCGCTCGGTGCTCTCTGTCTTCTGCTGGGGTGTACTGCCGAGCAGCCCTTTAATTCTGCTCCTTTCTTTCAGGATCAGTCCATAATGCCTGAAGTGCGAGACCTCTCGGATGCCTTGCCCGACTTGCCGATGGATCCCATCACGGGTGTTGGTGTACTTGCATCCCGGAACCGAGCACCCACCGGTTATGATGTAGTAAGTAAAGCTGTTTCAGCTGCCGTTGCTGATGCTTTGGCTCTGCACTAATGAGGCACTCTGCCAGAGAGGGCTTGCCTTCAGCCGTGTGCTTTAAGAAGTAATTTGATATCCAGCTGCCCACCTCTCAGCCCACAGCACTTAGTGCTTTCCCTCAGTGGGGGTTTGTGGGTGCAATTGTGCTACTTCATCTGTGCCACTCCAGAGGAGCATAATTACCTGGAGGAGGGGTTTTCAGAAACATCTGGCCACTGTGGCATGCAAATTTAATAATCCTCGTAACATTCATCCTGAAGGAGTCCTAAGTATTGCACAAATTATATCTCTGAATAAATGGATCCCGCATCAGCTGTTTAATCCCACATATCAGCACTGTGCAATGATGATGAGAAGCTCCAGAATGGGAAGCAGAGTTTCGCATCCAGCTTGAAATTGCAAGGATGATTTTGATGGACAGAATGCAAACCTCTAAACTAAGCTTTGGCAGGAGGCTGGGCAGCAGAAAAACGCAGCTGGATACAGCAGAGATGAATATGTGAATGGATAAAGGGAGGTCACTGTTTAACAGCTGCTCGTTCCTTGGGTTAGTTGCTGTGTAACCAACAGCGTGATTTTTCTCTCTATAGATTAGAGTCCCAAACAGTGAGATATAAAATACTGACCTTGCAGAACTCTATATGGAAAGACTTGGCCTATAGTCCATCTGCTCACTTTTCTGTGTATCCTGCTCCAGCTGTGCTACATCACACCTTGGGTTTCCAGAGTCACGCAGCTTGCGTGGTCAGGGGTGGAACCCAGTCGGCTTGAGGCTTTGCTCTCACCTTTCCAGCTCTGCATCGTTGCATACCCTGCTCAGTGTGAGAAGGAAGAAAACAGATCAGGCTGAAGTAAGGACACAAGGGAGGGAGTTGTGAAAAGGCTTCTTAACGACCTGGAAGGTTTTTGCATTTGCTGCATTTTTCTGAGTGCTCATTACCTGTGTGAGCCAGGCTGTGTAATTAGCTGCTTGGCCTGATAAAGGAGCACAGGACAATGTGAGAGTTGCAATAACAGAATCGCGTTCTGCCTAAATGCCTGGGCTGAGAGAGCGCTCACCCCAGATAGCCTGTCTGTGGTTTAATAGGGAGCTTCTGCGCTAACGCAGTTTGCACTAAACAAGATAAAAGAGTCTTCCTGTGGCTTAATCCAATTACGGTGGTGGTGTAATAATGCTTGCGAATGTGGGTCGCTCTCTCCTGGGGGGTGCAGAGAGGAGGCTGCCTTTGCCCTGGTCCTCCTGCCTCCCTCTGTTTACAAGGAGCTGTCCTTGTCCTGCTGCCCCGGGGCCAGCAGTCCGTGGGGCAGGCAGCGGGGCGTGCAGCAGGCTGCAGGATGTGCAGCAGGCTGCAGGATATGCCAGCTGTCTGCACTTGTCTTACCCTAAGTGAGGCTTCCACACGCCTACTCCTTCAGCCTCGTGCGTGGCAAATCAGCAGTCTGGCTCTGTGCCTGGGTGCTGTGAGCCGCGGTCAGTGTCCTTTGCACCGTGGAGCACCTGCTGTGGTGGGACTGCTCTGGGTGCCACCCTCATGTGACAGGATGTCCTAGTGCCCAAAGCCACGGGATGGTGGCATGCAGGGCTGTGCTTTTCTTGCCTAGATGTCTGGGAAGGTGGCTTCTCTGAGTTGGAGCTTTGGAGCAGGATGTGGTATGTGGGGCTGCCACTTCCCCGGGGCCTCTCTGGAGCCCAGAATGCCCTATCTGAAGGCACGAAGCTGTGTGTGCAGAAGGGCACTTCAGTGCAGTGGAGAAAGTCACGTTCTGAGATGTGGGCGGTGTGCAGGCTTGGGCAGTCTCAGGCTCTGTGTTTCTCCAGATATGCAGTTTCCCTAATGAGACACTGACAGTTGATGTTGCTTGAGGGTGTAAAGCCTTGATGAAGGCAGCTGTGGCAGCTCCATCCTAAAGCCCTCACAGTTAAAGGTTCAAACTGCAGCTTGAAAAGCCAAAGCATGAACACCAGTTTATCTTGGGATGATGTTGTAGTCCCCTGAGGGATCTGACAGCTTCGCCTTTTGTTACAGCATCCTGCAGCATTCAGTTCCACAGGTGGATTCAGAGTTGCGTGAGAAAGTATTTCCTCTTTTTAGGGATAAATTTAACGTCATATAGTTTCACTGACGGTTTTGGGTTTTGTGATGGTCAAGTACCCACTTCTCTCTTTCTGTGGTATTTATAGGCTTTACACAGTTTCCCTTTCGTTCACGTCCTTTCTCCAGTAAACAGCTGTTGCCATGTTTTCCGTCCTTTTCCCTTGGCTCCAACAAGCAAAGGCACGGGTGCTTTCAGCCCTAGTGTAAGTTAAATGCCCAGGGCATGTCCTGGTCTGTTTCCCGGGTTCGGCATAGTGCCTGGCTGGAGGTGGTGGTATGGCAGAGCCCAGGGTACCAGGCCTGGGGAGATCTTGGCGAATGTGTCAGAGATCTTTTTCCCTCGGTAGTTTTTTAATTACTCAAATCTCCAGTGGCTCTGTGTCTGCTTAGAAAACAGCTACTGACAGTTGAAATGACCAGGCAGGGCTTCGAACAGCTGAAGCATCGAAGACCTGATTTTGCCAGAATGTATGGAGTATGTCTGAACTGAGATTCCTGAAAACCTGCCCAAACTGGCAAGACTGAGCGTATGGGTGGGGAGGAAAGGGAGGAGAGGTGGGTGGCCAGGAGCCTGGGGTAGGAGAGAGGTGTGGTACCCGCGCAGCTGCGTTCCTTGCTGCGGGCTGAATGCCAGCTCCACGGTGGGGTTTGCTCTGGGGCGAGAGCCTGAGCATGCTGCTCAGCCAGGGCCGTGCTGGAGCAAGGACAACCTGGTGCACCACTGGCGAGCAGACCTACCTGTGGGCAAATGGTTTAGTGGGCTGTATTCCAAAGGCCTGTCCTGTGGCTGCAGTAACCCCTACTGACTGCTGGGCAGCAGGTAGGTCACCCTGCGTCTGGAGGGGTGGGCTGGGAACACCTTCCTTCCAGGGTGTCACTCTATCGAATTCATGTGTTTGTAGCATGTGCTTGACGAGTGTCTTCCCCGAGTTCCATGAGGAAAAGGGCCGTTCCTTCTGCCTGGGTGCCCAGTGCTGTGTGCTGTCCTCAGTCCCGCATGTTCCTTGCCTCTTGGCCAAGTGGAAGCCTTGGTGAGCTGGGGCTGCACAGCGCCTGTCCTGCTGGACAGGTCTGCCCCGGCCGGCTCCCTGCCCGCGCTGCCGAGGGCACGCTGCCCTGGTGAAACAGCGCTGCTCAGGCACAGCTCTGCTGCCAGAGGTGGTGGGGATCCTCCTTGCCTGCAGGAGCCCAGCAGATGATGTAAGAAGTTTCCTGTTTACATTGCTCTGTTTTCTTTCCCCATGAGTTTTCTGACAAGTTAATGCATGCTTACATTCTCCTGGCTTGGATAGAGCCTTCATCAGGATGATGCGGGGGCAGAGCACTCAGGGTTAATCGCTGGGGATGTCGCCTGCGACTGTTTC